CAAGTCAAACACATGGTTGGATTAGATCTTTTTTCCTTCTTCCACATCAGTACTGCGATCAGACCTGGCATTCTCCTTCTCAGACAGTGAATTATGTACCAACTGCCCACTGACCAAACTGCTTAATATCAACTTCTCACCTTATCTTAATCAGGTGTTTTTTTCAATGAACCTAGTGCTCAGTTTTCCCACATTTTACTAAATTTTCTTAATACGTTTTATTAATTTACAAAATAAGATTTCCCAAAGACTGAATTCCCCTATGCTCACATATTTGTCACAAATATGTGTATGAATGAATGGAAATCTTTTTTTTCCCCACAGTGCAGGTGTATATGCACAGTGTAACACCCACTCATTCAGTAATGTGTTTCCTTTCTGTGTGGTTTTGTTCTGTGTGAACATATACAGCCCTTCATCTTGGTACCTAGTATAGAATCTTCAAAATGAAAGGAACGTGAAGAAAACTGGCATGAACAAAGTACAAACTGTGGGCAACATTGGTGGCAGGTGGACAGTTGGACTTGATGGTCTTAGGAATTCCAGACAATTGTCCCAGAATGAATACTCCAGAAATCCCTTCAACAGACCTTCCTAACATCAACCATAAGCACACGCATGCTGGCTGCCTCACAAGATGAATTCTTCATTTTCAATGTATTTGTGAAAGACAAGCTGTTCAGCAAAGCAGTAAAATAATTTTTTCACTGCAAACATTTGCTGCTGGAATTGAAACAGAAAACTCCTTGGGTTCCACTGCACTGAGAGACTTAATATCCTGCCACAGTTTCTCTTGTATTTAAAAATCAATGACTTGCATTTGAAGTCAGTCGTGCATCAGGGCAGGCTTGCCTGCAATTAGTTCTTTGTAGCCTCCACCAGTTCTGGCACCTTGCCCTTGTTTCTGATGATAAGATTTTTTGGGTCTGAGACTTCAGGTAATTAAGAATGAGGTGGTTCTTAAGCTTTAATAATTGATTTATTTACTCCTACTAAACATTTCCTGCAGTTAATTGCCACTTTTCTCTGATACCTATATAAGTACAAACCACTGCATCTCTATATACAGAGATGTATTTACACAGATACTGTTAATTAAGTGTTTTGAAATGAGATGGCCTTCACAAAGCTATCTGACTGCCAGGACTCATCCACTTAGGCTGAAATAAATCCAGGCTGAGGGAAAAGGTACAGACTTCAGCTTTGGGTAGTGCTGTCCCATCAGCTGTTCTTTGGTCTGGCCAATGCTGGTTTCAAAGTAGCAGAAGGAAATGACATTCTCTTAGATGAGAGAATAAGTAATTTGGTCAAGCAGTGAAAACTTTGAGTGTTGAGGCAAAGTAAATGCTGTGTCTTGTCTTGAATGGAGTCCAGTCATGCTGTGAAAATTGTTTCCAAACTACCTTAATTTAGCTCAGTTGTAGCCCACTGAGTTGAATTTCCCACTACCTTTTCTCATGTGGCTGAGATGCTGGTGGGCTGTGGCAGCAGCTCAGCATCACTTAGCTGATGGCTCACATCCCAGGGGGATGGGGAGAAAATTAGAAAAAAAAGGTAAAAATAATCATGACTGTATAAGAACATACAAACAAGCGTGCACACACACATCCTGGCCAGCTCCCTGATACTGTTGCTCAGCACAGAATCATATAGTGGTTTGGGTTGGAGGAGACCTCAGTGATCATCTAGTTCCAACTCCGTGCTGCAAGCAGGGTTGCCAGCTGCTAGATCAAGCACTAGGTCAGGTTGCCCAAAGCCCCCTCTGACCTGGCCAGCATAACACCATGTGGTATGGGATAGCCCATGGCCAGTCTAGGTCAGCTGTGCTGGTGCTGGCCCCTCCCAGCTGCCTGCACATTCTTGCTTTAATCAAGAAGATTCGTCAGTATGTGCTTAAATTAAGTAAAGCAAATCATAGATATCCAGTTGAAGTTTCTTTAGCTATCTCCCTTTAAGTGTTCCTTAGCAGCTTTGTGGTAAACCAGTGGTCGGTAACAGTGTGGGGGAAGCAATGATCCCTTTGTAAAACATTGTTTTTCTCATGTTGTGCTACAGGATTTAAGATGATGGATTATAGAAAATAACTTCAAAAAGAAAATCTGCGGACGGTATGCTGCCAAGAGTAAAAAAAATATGTACTGAGTAAAAGCACATAAAAGCATTATGTTGGAAAGCCCATGGCTGATGAAGAATGGATGCCAATTCAGAGATGTGTCTGCACCTTACTCACAGTGAAGCACGCTGGTCTGCAATGAAACAAACCCATCTCTGCGGAATCAACCCTGAGGCTGCCTACGTTAGCTGGAATTACATGAAGGCTGCTCTGAAAGTAACATCTCCTGTTTCATGCTGTTGGCCCATGAAGTCAGGGGTGGATATTGGTGGGATGGAGCAGAGGCTGAACCTTCCTATCTCATTTTATTCATTGCTGCATGACAGATGGCAGCAGAGGGGCAGTCTGACATAAGGGTGTCTGTTGTAGAAGTGTATACAGAGCAAAGGGCTGTCTTTGAATTCCCGTGTGGAAACAATGGACCCAAGTGCTGTATTTATCCTTTTTTCTTACTTCCGAAACCAGCAACCAATTCTGCTAATAACTCTCAGAAGTCAGATATGCTGAAAAGCTACTTTTGACAGCTTTACAAATGTAACAGTTTGTTCACTGAGCAGTGGTGGGAATACAAAATAGGGAAAGTTGGTCACATCACTGGCTATTTTACAAGCTGCTTTTTGTCATTTCTTTGGTAACATTTTGAAAACTATCTCCAAATGATCCGAAACATTCCTGTTACCTACGTGAAGAGTTCATAGCATTCTGAAACTTGCCTGCCAACAAGCCTTAAAAATAAGCAAAAACATTTCTGAAAGATAAAATTTTCCTGGTCTGCACTTAAAATGCCTAAAGAATAACTGCAGGGCACCCTGATGAGCAGTTCCATCCTAATCTGCATTGCTGTTTAGCTTTTAGAATCTCATGAATGCTTGATAGAAATTCTGATTCTCTTCCTCAACTTGTAGTGCAGTTTCATGGTTCTGCATTTCTGCATTTCTGGGAGTTCTCTGCAGCTCTGAAGAGCTATTGGTATCAGCAGTGTATGTTTAAACTTAGTAGTCACGTGCCTCCGGTTGCTCTAAAATTATGCAAGTTCCCTCCCACCACACAGTACTTCTTGAAATGAGTTTTCTGAAGCATGCACTTTCTGTAATGGTTTGCTGTCTGCCCTGGTTCTGCTTGACTCTGATTTCTCCTGGGGAGAATGGGCAGCTGCCCTGTCAGTGGATATGGAATAGCACCGGTCACTTCATTTTGCTGTTTTCTTTCCTTTCTAGCAGTACAACAGGATTAAAAACACTTCCATTTTTCAGGGAGCTTTTGGACTTCAGAGTTGTATCTGGATGACAAAACATCATTCCCTGTACAAATCACAAATAAGAGCTTGGCCAGTAGTTTTACTGAATACTGCTGATTGGAAAATTCTTCTACAGGGTATTTATAAGTATAAAAATCTGTATTTTATGAAGCTGTATTTAACACTGTCTTCATGCATTAGCACATTTAATTTTTTATTTAGCAAACACAATTTTTTCCAGAGGAGAACAAATACATCTGTAACTCTCTTCTGGCACTGACTACTCAGTGTACTCTTGAGTGCCTTGTTACTGTTGTGTGATATGCTTCCTCCCCATCTATCTACAACAAAGTGGATTTCTTTTTGTTGAGCATAAAAAAGAGCACTTCAGAGGTTTATTTGCTGTTATTAGTAATGTAGTTTTTAAAGAGCTCTTGTTTTAGAGATGCTTAGTGCTAAGATCACTGGATCACAGAATCATGGAATGGATTGGGCTGGAAGAGACCTTAAAGACTGTCAGGTTCCAACTCCTAGTGTTGGTTTATCCTACAAACATGCTTAAAGCTACAAAGGGGCTATAAGCCAGAACTATTGCTTCCTTGGATTTAGACGTGTTTAAATATGAAAAAGCCCAGTGTGGGGCAGTTTCACAGCAAGGGATGTAGGGAACTGTATTTTCCTCAAAAACTGTACGTGGTCTTCATGCACACTGTTTTCTTCTGGAGTCCAAGATACTGTGGAAAATGTCACTTTAGACAGAGCTTGCAGTGTGATAAATAGCATTCATACAGACTCATGAGCCTGCACATATCATCTTCTTGGCTTAATATAGCAGTGAAATAAATATTTCCAAGGTTTTACTGGAGGAACAGATTGAAGATCAAGATAAAGAATGAGCATGTAGTGCCATTTATAGCATGCCTGAATTAAATTTCTTGTGTCTGAGCTGCCATTGGAACCAAACGTAGTAGGCTTAGATTGCCTTTGTCAACTGGGGAAAAGCTTGTATCAGGTAGTGGCTGTTCATTTAGCCAGGCTGGGTTCTGCAATCAGCTCTCTGCAGCTGTTTCCTGAGCTCGTTGGTGTGTTTAAGGAACACACATTTGGAGCTCTGTGTGTGTGGAGGTGGCATATCTTCACACTCCTTGCTAAGGCTTAGCACTAAGCTTTACAGAGCAGTAGAAACAAAATCCCCTGACATAAGCAACCACCATTCTCCCAGGGGAGAGAATCAAATCAGAATTTCAAATCAATGTCTTGAAATTCAGCCCCACAAAAAGGCTTGCGGCCAGGGCTGCAACGGCAACTCACAAGGAAGAGATAAACAGCAGAAGAGGGAGTGCAAGGGAAGCAAGCAGACCTGAGGCAGGTGGAGGACAGAGGTGTGCATGTAAGGCATAGAGGGCGCTGTGATGGGGCAGGGTCTTCTCCCACCCAGCAAGAGAGCTCCCAGGAAGGAACAGTGATTGCTCTGAAAGATGCTGAGTTTACTATAAAGGAAAAAAGGTGAACTGGGAGCTGAAGTGACTTAAGCCTATGATATTAGCAATGCTGCAGTGCAGTTGCAGTGGTGTTGTTTGGGAAGGAAATCGGCCCTGAACAGAGACTCTCTGAAACACATATTACTGCTCTGAATTGGGTAAGATTCAGAATCCAAAAAGAAATGCTGAAAGGATAAATAGTGGGGGTGGGTTTCGTTTTTCAGAGATGTGACAGGAAAACAATTCTCTTTTTCTAAGTAAGGGTTAGATCTCTTCTGCTTAGTACAGAACTTCAATTTCAAAAGTTAATTCAGTAATCTGAATATACTGGCATCCTTCTTGTTCCTGAGAGCAGATGCAGAACTGCTGTTTTTATGCTTTCTCATGACAGAAGTTATGTGGTGTTTTACTGGGGTGGGGGGGATATATGCAGAGATGTTTTATTAACAAGTTCACACAGCTATATGACAAACATTGAAGTTTTAACCAGTTTTTGTCTCCAAATACTGTTACTATGGTATTGCTTAAATTGCTTTATTGTTTACCTGTTACTCTGAAGGAGGAAAACTACTTTTCTCATTTGATGCAAATGAGCCGCAGTTGTTTAGTCTACAAACATCCTCAGCCTTTGGAACTCCTGAAATCCTCAGGGCTTCTGGATGTCCAGACAATCTGGAGTTAATTTTCACTTCCTCCTGGAACAGATTTAAAATGCTGTCATATATATTTATATCATAGATGTATGGAGTTATGTGTTTATATATTTATATTACACATGTATTTTTATCTGGAAACAAAACCACATATAATAATACAGCAAAAGTCCGTGTGCTATAGCACGTTCACAGCTGGCTTTCTTTCTTGTTTGTGTATTGTGATGTAGATGCATGGGAACAATTCTAGAAAGATAAGTTAATAAGGCAGGAGTTTCTTTTTCTACAGCAAAAGTGTGAGCTGGAGGAGCCCTCATTCAATTGTAGGACTTTAGTTTCTTTTGGTGCAGTTATGTCTATAATGAAAGCAATCTGTAACTCTGTATGCAACTCAATTTTTATTAACCTAACTGTAACTTCCTTTAACTGAGTATTCATAAATGATCTGTAGCATTGCTGACCATGAAATGTTCCCAGTGAAAGGAACGTTTCTGCCTGTTCTCACTGGAGAGTATCTACACTGTACTTACATGTGTCCCTATGAATTACTCTGAGAGGCAGAGACTGAGATCTGCTCAGTTAACTTGTATGTTAGTGTCCTTGCTCCTGCCTGTCTTGTGCTTTGAACACACCGGAACCTCAAGGAAGCACAGGATCCCTGCTCAGGGCAAAACCACATCATAACTACACTGCGGCTAAAGACATCCACATAGCATCTGCTGCTGATACCTCTCAGCACTTGTACTGGGGACCAAAGGTTATCTAGGATCAGAATGCCTTGCTGCTGCCATGCACACACTTCCTGTCTGTTACACAGATAACAGCTGGTGGGCAGCTAGTGCCTTTCTGTGCATCATAAGTCTAAGTTCTTACGAAACATAAAATTCCAAATAGTCCCGCAGAATGCCAGTAACTGCTGCAATGCTGGGATGCTAAACAGACTAACCAGGGAAAGAAAAGAAGAAAATGGAAGTGTCTGCCAGGTAATGGAAATGATTTATGTCTTGTATGAAGAAATGGAGGTATGAAAAACTTGTTTAGAAGTATTTGGTTTGCTGGGGAATCTAGTAAAAAGTTCCTCCACTTGAAGTGAGAGCTGAGGAAAGCCACATATGAGATAAATTACTGTGCTGTTAGAGAAACACTCCAGTAATACAGAGGATATTGCAGGAGTGCTAATTATTGAAAAACTAATGATTGTAGTACACTATGGATGTAGGAAGAAACAAAAGAATTCTGCATAATCTTGATTTGATGTAGACAGTCACGAATACTGTTTTCCCACAGCTTAATACTACTGGCATTGTTTTGTCTTTTTCTGACTAATAATTCCTGCAGTTGCCACATTCATTACAGATATTTTTCTGGTGAAATCTGTTGGTGGCATTTCCGTGATATCAGACAATGTGGAGATTCCTGATAGGCAATTTTTCTTCTTTTCAAGTTTTTCTTCTTATCTGTTTTCTTGAACACACCGGGGGCTCACACTGCCCCAGTGAAGAGGAAAAATACCTTCTGTAAGCCTTTCGAAAAGCTGTGTCTGTTCAATACTGCTGCAGCTGTTGTTTAAGAAGGGAGTTCTCCAAGTCAGTCTAGTCAATAAACCAGAGGCATCCCCTTTATGTAGATTTGCTCCAAATAGAGCAGAGATCAGCATTTGCACTCATGCATTGAGTCGAGCTCCCAGCTGAAGGAAATGCACTTTTCTAGCTAAACTTCCCTGGGAAAATTCTCTTTGACTGACGCACTGAATATGTCTACGCAGGGGAGGGAGTGAAAGTGCAGGGGACCAAACTGTCCTGGGAAATGCATTTGACATATTGCAAAATGACTTCAGCTGTCATTATGCTCAAGATTTTTTTAATTAGCCTTTCTTCCAAAGTGTCCTATATACAGCCTTATACACAGATAGAAGTGCTTAAGCAGTTAGATATAGGCTGGGAGCCTGGAAGGGCTCAGTGGCTCAGCTATCTTTAGCTACTTACAGCAGCCTGGTTTTACAACTCTTTGGCCAAATAAAAACTCTTAATGAGTGTACAGATTCACAGGGACTTATTGCACAAAGATTGCATTGCTCCTGTCCTAAATTGCCTGCACTGCACTACCTGTAAATTAATGATAAATATAAGAAGTGATAGAATTGTGTGTCTTCAAGAGAAATTGATCGAAGTTCTTCGCCACAGGCTTTAGTAAATCTTTTAGTTGAAGGTAGGATTAACATCTTTTGAGGCTCCAAGATCTTGGCTTGTACTGTTTCTAAAGATGCATGAAGAATAGATACTCTTAACTTTCAGGTGCTTGATCAACTTCATTTGGCCAGATGGTACAATGGTCATGCATTTCAAAGCTAAAAATAGGCCTGTTTTTGTCTCCTATTTCCCTGAAATAGATTATGACTCAGTGCTACCTGGTGACCTTTCAAGTAGAGGTCTCTGCATGTTAAATGAACATACTGGTTTGGAGACCTCTACACTTTGATGTTTTTAAAAAAGTTAGATGTTCAGATCTTTTCTTTGAAGCCCCAGGGGAGTGCTAGGTGACTTCATTCTTTCACAACAGGGCATACATGTGCCAACTGCGGAGCATAAAACCCTGATCCTGTTTTTTCACTTCAAATAGTCTTATTCAAAATATTTACTTTTTACAGGACTACTTCATAATGTGTAAAGCTATTGAAGCTTTAGAGCCTGCTTCCACTTGTACTGCCATAGATCTCATGTAATCAAGGAAAACCGATACCAGATCTGTGCCATTACAGCAAAGAATGACAATCAACTCTTGTCTACTATGACTGCTGCAACACAGCAACTTGTCAGCATCTTGATTAAGTGTTTCTTCTGTTTTTGATGGTTAATGAACCAAATTGCCAGCTAGGCAACTGAGGCAGGACATCAAATGATAAAGAATGTCTGGATGTTCAGGGACAGTTCACAAATGAGTACAATTCAGAGATATCAGCAAAACCTTCCTAGCATTTTTTTCTTAATTGAATATCAGTTGATATTAAGTGCAGTCCTGCTAAGCCTGTTGTACTGCCTATCTGTTAGTAAAACTTGTCAAGCATCTCTTTCTGAATAGATGTTCATCAGTGAATCAATAATGCTTTGTGTATGATAGAAACCACCTCAGAACAAGGTCTAAGCAGCTCTGAAATTAACAGTATTAATTAAAATTAACAATACCCATAGAGTAGATTAGTAACTTTTCCATTTTAACTATGAAAGAGTCCATCTTCTTTACTATATCATACAAAATAAAACAAGATCCTGAGCCTGCATTGCAAAGCCATTTCTCTCAGAAGAGTTCTCTAGATGCCAAATTCACAAGAAAATCTAAAGCAATAAACAGAGCAGCCCAGCTCTGTTACTTGCCTTGGTGGGATCTGAGGGGCTGTATACATCCATTTGCCCAGAGAGCTTTGGGTGCCCCATCCCTGGAAGTGCCCAAGGCCAGGTTGGATGGCTCCTGGGCAGCCTGAGCTGGTGGAGGAAAGCCCTGCCCAAGGCAGAGGTTGGTGCTGGGTGGGCTGTGAGGTCCCTTTCAACCCAAACCATCCTCTGATTCTATGATTTGATTTTTACCCTGAAATTAAATACAAGCTTCTTCAATGTATTGTTTACTGGTTAGCATAATGCAGTTGTGGGAAAACACAGTCACTCCTATATATGTGCTGAATAGAAGTAACTCATTTGCTTAAAAGTTGCCTATGCCTGCCTTGTGTGTCTCCATCTTTTAGCTGCATAGAAGTTATAGTCAATGATGTAACTGCTACAGTATGGAAAAATACAGTTAGAAGAGGCACTTCTAACAAGCTGGATATAGCTTGTCCTATTTACTGAGGCAAAGGAACAAAGAAACAAACAGAAAAGCTTGTGGTGTCTTGTGCCTCTTTTCAGAGCTCTGTGATTCATATGTCAGTGTCATCTTCCCTGAGGTGACATACCTAACTCTTTACTTTATCCAGAGGGATTTAGGAGGCAGGCAAAGAGCTTGTTGTGGCAGCCAGTGCTCCATCACACATCAGCACTGGGTGCTGTCAAAGATCAGTGTTTCTTTGAAAAGAAGTTCCATAAGTGAAGTCTGAAGAAAACTATTATCTCCAAAGATTTTTTTAATAGTAACAATACAAAATTATTATAGTAATAAACAGTAATGCAGTAATATATAATATATACTAGTATATGCTACATAATATATAGTAATATTATAGTAAATCCTAACAAAAAAGTACTGTGTACTCATGCAGCAGAATGAGGAGACAAAGAGCAATCCAATATAGATGTGACATTGGCAGTCGTGTGCTGCATGGGTATGTGCCCATATATGACTGAATACAGAAATAAAATAATGTGTTAAAGAAAGATAGATGCATAAGATCAGGATTATATCAAAGAAATGATAATAGGGAAATAACTTTTTTGGTACAGTTTTGCCTCACCCAATTCTCATGGCTGTATTTCAAGTAGGGTTTGGAAATTTGTGGGTGGAAAGTTCTGCATCAACACAGTGTCAGGGTCAGAAGGGTACAGTTAGAGTGCCAGTTCTCTCATTATTTTAATTGAGGTTATAAACCAGCTCAAACTCTAAATGGAATTTGGTTGTGTTGTAACGCCCTGTCTCAATTTAAGTAAGATAAATGCTTATTTGTTGGCTGCTTCGTGAGTTGTTTTTCTGAGCATTCTGCCCAGGGGAGCCCCAGGTCTCTGTCTTGTTCCTCAGATAGTTTCTGATCCCACAGCTGCCAGTTGGCCCTCCTAATACTAAGAGGATGTGTCTGCCCATAATGGTTGCTTCTATGTGCTAAGCTAGTAACTGTGGTCATTTACAAGTTCCCCCATTTCTTGAACCATGAGTGACACTCAGGCATCATGAAACAGCTGGGACAAAAAGATGACAAGAAGATTCCATCGCTTTAGGCTCCATCCAATTGTGTTCCTCAACACATCCTGGGAGTGAGCTTGGATGTGTGTGGAAGGAAGGGAAAAAGCAATGCCATGTGTCAGCAGTGCTGAGTGTGCCACAGCCACCCTGCTTTCTCCTGCAGTGAGGAGATGGGAGAAAGGATGTTATTTGGGCACAGGACCCGACTGTGGAGAAGATGTGGTACTTCCACATCACCTTCTTTCCTCACTTCTCCCCTCCCTCCTTCTGGTCCCCAGCTGTTCCCACTTTTCCACTGCATTTGCTGCTTGATCAGTCTGCTGGATAGGCAACAGCAGAAGTTACAGGCATTCTAACACATCTGCCTCCTCCTAACACCCAGCTCCTGGGTGCACGGTACATACTTTCCTCACTCCGCTTTGGATGTGGCCCTACCACTTGCCTACCCAAGGGAAAGCAACAGGACTTCATGTGCAGGTGGTGAGGATCCAAGTGAGAACTGGCCTGGGGTACAGCAAACGTGCTGGATTCTCCTGGCTGACAGGAGTAGCATGGGCAGTCCCATAGGTGAACTCTGTCTGAATCAAGCTCAAGAAGCACTTGAAAAGCTGTCAAACTGCCATGCAGATAGCAGAACGTATTTCCCTATAGTCAGGCTCTAGCAGACAAGCAGAGTGAGCCTGAAGGCAGAAAGCTCTGTCCCAGAGCAACAGCCAGCACTTATTAGGGTTTTGCTAAGAATGAAGTTGGCAGGGCCAGAGAGGTATACTGTTAAAAATATTTTTGGCAGTTAGCAGGAGAAAATACCCAAATCTACTGACTCAGCACTCCTTGGCTGTACAGCCTTATAGTAGTGAGAGGGTCACAGCTGGCATCTGCTGGAATTACCTTCTGTGAGCCCTCGCATAAAACCACACCTGTGGGTTCTGCACTGAATCCTGTTCAGTGCTGGAAAAAAATCATGGAAAAGAAAATAGAACCATTCATCCCGCACAGGCAATCAGTGCGTTGAAGCAAACTCATGCAGACTCAGTGCGACACCTCACTGACCTCAGCTTCTGCATAGGAGAGCTGTCAGGCTGAAGGCTGGTGAGAGAAAACACCACTTTTTCTTTTTACTCCAGGTTCTAAGTGTTTTCTTCTTTCCTTGGAAAGAAGGGTTTAATGTATTGAATGGCATCTGTGAAGTATGTCCTTGGAAAGACATGAGGCAACCAAGTATTACATTGCAGTTACATTTTAACTATCAAAGTAATTTTTCAGAATTTCCTAAAAGGTCCAGACAGTCCTTCAGTTCCTTTGTGAAGATGTGAGGTAGGTTAGCTTTGTGTAAGATATTTTGGATTTTTTTTAATAAGAAAAGAAAAAGCAACACCTGATAATCAGTAGAAAATACAGAAAAGGAGGGAACTTGGAGCGGGAAGCAGATGTGGAGGAGAGGCTGAGGGGGGGCATGTGTATTTGCTGTCAGGATAATATTGTCTCCTAGAAGAGGAAAAGCACACAGGACCTGCAGAACTTCTGTTGCTCTGTGTTTGTGTGTGATGTGTTACATAACTAACTACAGTCACCTCCTCAGCATGGTAAAATACTTGAACATCTTACAATTTGTTATTTGCTGGTTCTTGCTTTTTTTCCCCCCCATTATTTATTTCCATCATACATCCAACTACATCCAAACAGGAAATCCTGCTTTATCATGGTGCCGTGCAAATTCTCTTCAGAGAATATGAGCCTAGCAAATCCAACCAGTGAGGGCTTCCTTCTGACTGGTGAAATCTCCACAAGGACACAATCCTACCACAAAAAAAACCCTCGCTCCAAACGTTCCCTAGTAAAAAATGCAGCCTTTAAGGTACGTGACTGGACTCAGTGGTTGAGTAGTTTGTGTTACCTGATTTCATCTCCTTGCTCTGGCATGTAGATTGGATAATAACTGTGTCTCTCCCGATTATTTTTGCAAAAGTAGAGCAGCATATCTTGACCCATGTTATGAGTTAAGTTCTTATAAAGCCTAGACAGTAATTCCTTCTTAGCAGACAGCAAAATAGCACTATCAGAGGTTTACTATAGATGAAAATTGTTTCTTTAAAGCTTCTTCTACAAATGCAAAGCTGACATAGTGCAACGCAAAAGGGAGATTTTACCCAGGTTTGTAATCTCTACGCTTTAGATGACTTACAATAATGTTAGCTCTTAGGCTGCCACTGCTGCTCCTCTGTGGCAACATTTAGGGAATATTGTAAATCCTACAGTAATTTTACAACCACGATTATATAATACACTTCTTTGGGCTTCAGCTCACAGTACCATATGATTATATCAGAATCCGAGTTTCCAGAAGAAAGAAATGGGTACGCTTCTTGCCTTTGTGAATAGCTTTAAAGGAAGAAGAAACTCTTTAAATATGAAACTGATGGAATGTGGTATGTCTGGGAGACTGAAACGTGCCCTAAAGAGCATGAACTCCAAAATGCATTTTCATCTGGCATTCATCCCTGAATCCAGGCTCCCAGTGAAGCTATGACAACCAGCCTTGCAGAAACAATGACAAGTCAGGAACTGCGGCATGCACTACCGACACACTGAGTCAATGTGCCTGCAAATTAAAATGTTTAATGCTGTTACAAGTTATCCTGCTGCTCTTTCCTCCTCTCTTATAAAGCAAACTTTTCTCCAGTTGCTTTCACTGGATAAGTAGGACTACAACAAAAGGCTCTGAGTAGAGAACAATGGGAGCTTGCTGGCAATACGTACTGGCTCTGAATTCTCTTACTCCAGCCAACCTGTACTGTGAATGCTGTGTAGCAAGGGGATGTAAAAATCGACCTGATACAAAGTAATGTTAAACATTCATCAATTTTGCATAAAGAGACCTAGAAGTACACCCTGGGATAAGGGAAAGAGCTGAATCTGTCAGGAAGCTGTTGAGCAGTTAAGTAGTTAGAGCTAGAAGCAGAAAATAGCTGGGACTCTGTAGAAAACCAGAATTAATAAAGCCTATTGTTCCTTTTGGGCTAAAATGTTATCAGCCTGCTTTACTCTCAGTTAATAAAACTGGCTTGTTTCCATCTTCTGATTGCATGTATGTGCTCTAACTGGAAGCATTATCTGGCCTTTGATATTGGTTACTATTTTCAACTGTTATCATGTAAGTGTTTTTGCCTTTAGTGAAGGCTTTGAGTTTGCTTTCCTCTTTGGGCAAAGCTGTTTTAATTGACTGGCTGCTAATGAGCTAACAGTAGTTGGTTTGAATATTTGTAATTGGAAGTGTGTTCTCAAGGGACTAAAAAGATGCCCATTACTGGTTTACCAGAAGTCATTATTGCATGTCACTGACTGAGGGCTCTGCCCCACGCTGAACTTAACATCACCTTCAGCACAGTCTTGGCTTGCAGATTAAAGAAAACCTCAATGGAGTTTTAAAAGAAAATAGAATCAGAAGTAGTCATGATAAAACATTCTGACTTACAAATGTGAAGCAAATTAAATGTGTATATTTATGCATTTCTACTTATTTTTGCTCCCTTCTCATTAGCTCCATTTTTGTGGTTACTATTTCTGAAGAAGGGGAGTTTAAAGAAGAGACAGGCGCTCAGAATTTTATTTTAAGTAATGAAGAGAATACATTGACAAGCAGTAAATGTCTTTCTGCTTGCTTACACCAAGTAGAAAGGGGGGAATCGGCAGCACAGGCCTCAAACAGATTCCCTGCTGTGTCTCCAGCATGAGCTGTTGGAGCTGCTCCTCTCCTGCCTCCCCAGTGTTATGACCTCTCAGCATTGGAGGGCATTGCTGACTGAGCAGGTTTGTTTTGGTAGCTGAGGCTTTTGGCTTTACTGAGTCATTCAGTGTGCTGCCAACGGCTCTGAAGCCGGTAATACTGCTTCTATCCCAGGGCTGGCTGCTGACAGCAGCTCCAGTAACCCAGCTCAGCTGCCAAGGGAGCATTTCAGAGCAGTGGATCTCTGTAAGCCCAGTGACACTAGTGTTCACTGCTGTGACTAAGGGGAGAATGTGAATCATAAAATGTGTTTAAAAAAAAAGAAAAAAAAAGAGGTGGTGCATCAGTTTGGAGGAATAGGAAAAGTCTGCACTGTTTCTCAATGGAGCTACAGTGATCTATCTACAGCAAGTTTTGAGGGCACTTGGAAACGAAGTGAATGCAATATGCAGTCGTTTGCTCATTAGTGAGGAGCTTTTGGTAATGATCTGTGCTGCAGAGGCTGCTGGTGAGTCTCTAACAATGATCTGGGGACAAGGTTTTGGTTTTTTTTTAATTTTTTTTTTTTTAATTTTTCATGCTCTGAGAGGAACTCCTCAGTGCCTTTGCTCATCAATACTTCCATCCTAAGCTGTAGCTCCATTCATCCAAGTAATCCTGGCTTGTATCTGCCCAAATGTGGATGTCACAGCCTTGTGAACAGAGAAATCCCTCACTTCACTCAGCACAGTGAATGAGGGTGCTGTGCTGAGTCACAGAGGGAGAGTGAAGGAGGAAGCATTATAGCTATGATGTTCTCAGTGGTACCTGCTTCTGAGGGGAAACAGTGGAACTGCAAGAGGGCACTTACCATCAAGTCAGTTCTTCCCACACAAATCCCATAATTCCAACGTTGTGAATGGAACAAAGAAACTGTCAGACCATCCTGGGAGCGCCCTGTGGCTGCAGAGTTGGCACTGGTGTTTGACTTCCAGCTCCAGAAATTTCACAAAGTGCCTTACAGTGGAAAAGCAAGGCATGTTAGATGTCCAAGCCTTTTTTCATCATAAACTCTACAGTTTTCTACATGTCTGTGGGACCAGATCTGCCTGCAGATAAGTTGCAAGCTGTGGGTTTGCTGCAGTCCCTCATGGTGGCCTGGATGTGCTATCCGTACTACTCTCAGGATTCGATCTGATGGTGGTTTTTTGACTATTCCAGCTGCTGCTGGACTCTGAGCCAACGACTTCAGTGACCTCCCAGTGATGATTACAAGAAACCTTTTCTGAGTACTCAGTCTGATCCACATTCAATGTCACGTAAGTGTGACTATAAGACCTGTAACATATGCAGCTATACTTTAATCTGCACTGAAGTGCATCTGGCACCTTCCTAACTCCTCATCGTTTCCTCGTCATCAGTGCATCTTTTGACAACTTATTTCCAGACTTCAAGATTTTACTGACTCCTGCCTTTTGGAGATCACTGGTGAAAACGTCAGATGAAACCAGTCTGACATTCAGACATTACTGTTGATCCTTCACCACCTTGAAAAGTGACAGTTACACCTTTACTTTTGCTCCTTATTCTACAGTGAGGCCATAAAATGACCTGTCCTCCAATCGTGTGGAAATTTAATTTCTTTAATAGTTTCTGGAGAAGAGTATTTTTGAAGAATTTTTGAAAAACCAACTGTATGATGTCTGCCAGCAATCTTTCCTATAATTTGTGAAGTCCCCATTGTCCTTCTAAATCATCAGCATATCAACTTACCACATGGAAACTCAGAAGTCTCTAAGTCGTATGCTTTTCCTCAGCAGCTTTGTGCAGGAGGTAGTCCAGGTTCCCATTCCACGTAATGTATCTGCCAACAGAAGGTAAGTGATAGAGCCTAATTCAAATGCATTTTGTATATCAGTAATCCAGAACACTTTCTAAGATGGTAGATTAATAAATAAATACAGAAGCTAAACAAATGCTTAATTTGTAACAGCTGATTGTTTTAGGTCTATTCAAAAGAAAATTTGGTGGTTTCATTGAAATAGAAAATAACAGTGATGGTTAAGTCAAACTAAATTGTCTTGAAATTATATCATTAGATTTCCATGTTCTGTCATGTCATCTTAAATAGTTAACTTGATTTTAAATAAAGCACTATTTTAAAATGAAAAAGTGGTACTTCCTAATATGAAGCATTATGTTAAAACACTCTTCATCTCTTAAGGGATTTTTTTATATTTGTGGCTGAAATTTACTGGCCAAATTCCTGTATGTATTTGCGAGGTGGAGCATTTGATCCCAAACTGTATTAACCACAAATGAATTAATTGTATGAAATGGTTCAACTAAATTTATATTTAAATCTCTCAATGCTCAACTTCAAACAATATTAGATATACTGCAGAATCATGTATACTTGACTGCATATGGAAATAGAATACTGCAAATGAATGCGCAGAGAATAAATCAAATGCACATGTAAGTCTTGTTTGAGAGTAATTCACACTTCTTCCTCCCAAAACTATGTAAAATCAGACTTGGAAACTGCTTTCTTCTCACACACTTGCTGACATATCGCTCACACTGTTTCCATACTCTGAAGCTGATGCAAATGAAAATCTAACCAGTTAATTTGCAGTAATCCTCTTTTAGATATCAGTCGTCTTAAAAGCAGGATTGTTTTGTGAGAGTAAATCTGGTAGGAAACCATCAGCTCTTTTTCAAAAGACCAGTGCAAATAGTGATGTGACCAGGTCCCTCATGGACATTGACATGCCAGCGATGCACTCTTCTGAATTTAATGATGCACTGTTGACGTGCTGCCTTGCAAACCAAAGGAATATCAGAGAATTTCTCCCAGTTTCATTTCTGTTCTGTTACTTGCTGCTGTATTTCAAAATGAATAATCACTGAACTGTCCAGTGTTTACTTAACAGAACTACTTTTGCTGTTGGTAGGGGAGCTCTGATTTACCTCACGGAACCTTAAGAGATATGTTGAACAGAACAAATATTAAAAAAAAGAATTTGCAATATTACAAAATATCACTTCTGCTTTAATGTAACAACTGCTCTGGGAAAGGCAAAGTAAAATGCAGTAGTTCTAGCTAGATCCTGTGGTCTGAATGCATTATGTAGGAGAGTAAAAAGAATAATTTGCAACATTTTGTAGAGGATCTTAAAATTATAGAGGCTTTCTAGCAGTAATTTATTGTAAAAGGGGTTTAACATAAAGCTAGTGATGACTTTAAAATAATAAGAGTGTCACGAGAGCATAAGCAAACACATTATGTGCTGGCACTGCAGGGTGGCTCTGAGTGACTTGAAGCTCTTCATTTGCACACATGATATTCCACCTTGTGTACAACTACATTTTGTTGGCTTTGTTGCATTGCTTGAAATATGTATTTTTTATTTTCCCTTAGAAAGTAGAGTAACCATTTTGGGCCCAAGTGATCTAACTTGCAAAAATGACAAGAACACTGAAGTAATCTGTGGAATGAATCTAACGTTAGGAAAACCCATTTCCTATAGGCCTTGGATAGTGATACAAAACAGTCCATGCTGTTCATAAAGCAAAAGTAAAAAGTGAACAGCGATGACATAAAATATTATTAAAATAATATTAAATAATTATAAAGCGTTGAAGAAAGAACATTTGGAAGCCTGTTTTTAAAAAACACTGATGTCCAGGCAGTACAACAAACTCTAGGAAAACTGCTTCAGGTACGGCTTAAAAACATGTGAGCGATGTGTGTAAGCTTTATCTATGTCCTGCAGTGAGTGGGAAGACTTCACTGAAGCCCTCTGAGAATGCACAGATATGAGAAAGCACAACATGACCTGCCTTTAAAAATCCTTTGACCTTTAAACATCTTTAGAAAGCTGACTCTTGATTTGTTGGGTTTTTTCCTCTGAAAATGATCCTAATTCTATCGTGTTAGGATTCAGCAGCAGACTAAATAGCATTTTATTTGCTTTGTGTGTTGTATCAGAGCCATGATTAGAATTGTATTAACATCTCTTGGGTACGTTCAAAGACCGCCTCATGGTGGTGCTAATCCTTTAGCAGCTGCAGTTAGAAACTCTTTCTCTGATTAGGTTATTTATTTCAGTGTATCTTATTTCAATTTATATTATGCATAAAGAACACAGAGCTATGCAGTATCCTAGCAAGCAACATCATATTAATGGGAGATTTACACATAATCACTGGCAGGAAACCAATATAAAGCATGCTGTGTTCTCACAATTACAGCTTTCTCCTCGGTGCTTTGGTCAAGGCAGAATGCATATTTACGTAAACTTTACATTGCTGGAAAGCAGTTGAAAACATATCTACTGTGGTGAATGAGCCAAAGTGGCCCACAACCATCTAACAGAGCAAAGGGGTCCCGTGCACTGAGCTGTGCACTTTCTCTTTCATTATTTCTCTTATTCGGACAGCTCTGATTTTTGCAATCAGTGAAATAACAAAGTCCTTTGTAGCAATGGAGGAGGCCTGAACATTCAGCATGCGTTTTTCTTTCTAGAGATCATTTTTTACCCAAGCATGAGTTAATGTTTGCTACTGAGACATGTTAATTGAGGAGGAAGGCTAATGCATTATGGGCAGTGAATTACAGATGGCAATGATGGGGGAGCTCTCTCTACTGCAGCCAACAGGATGGTTTTGCTGGTCCCCACCAGTATTCTGTACTTTGGCTAAGAGAAAAATAAACAGTCTTTTAAAGTAAAAACAAACCAATAGTAAATAAATTTGTCTACTTAGAAACAGCTTCATAATCTGCTAGAGTTAGTCATGGAGATGTACTTCGTTTCAGGTAGTAGAGCTGGCAAAAGGGCAAAGGGATTCATGTGCAGTTGGAGACTTGCAGCTGCTTCTAGGGCATGGGCTGCTGGTGGGGCTGAGACCTGAGGTGCTTCTTCAGAATGGCTCCAGATGCAGTCCTAACGCAAATACAGCCACACTGTTCTTCAGGTTTCTTTTTCTCCAGCTCTCAGTGGTTTCTTGCCTCCTTTTCACAGAATCACAGAATGGCCAGGGTTGGAAGGGACCTCAAGGATCATGAATCTCCAACCCCACATGCAGAGCCACCAACCTCCTTGTTTAATGCTAAACCGGGCTGCCCAGGGCCCCATCCAACCTGGCCTTGAACACCTCCAAGGACGGGGCATCCACAACCTCTCTGGGCAGCCCGTTCCAGTACCTCACCATTCTTTTTTTAACCATTTTTCTTTTTCTCTCCCACACTCTGATGCTTGTCTTCTCCTTTTGTCTTTTTCTCACCTAGTTTTATTTGGCTAATATTGCCTTTTTGATCTTGTTGGTCTGACTTCTTATTATTAACCACTCTTATTAACCAATCGCTTGTAGAGAAGCAGTTGGATGGTTTTCTTCTTTTCCCTGACAATAATCTGGAGCATGGTCACAAAATCTTTAACGTGTCGAAAAATGCACTTGAAAAATGCACAGCTCTGTGTTTCTGCATGCAATGAGGCTCAGTGTGAGTGTCATTCCTGAGTTTGCTTTGTTTTTGTTTGTGAAATTCACAATACAGAATACATTCTGTGAAATCCCAGTTTCCAAATCCACAGCATTACATGGGAATTCAAGCTTTTACTTGAAAGGAAGGCAGGTTCTTAGCTTTCATATTTCTAGAGAAACATTTGAAAGTTGAACCACTAGGAGCTACAAAAATTACCAGACAAGCTTAAAAGTTCATTACATTACATTTTAAATCTGTGTTATTTTTTGATGCCTGAAGCTGGCAATATAGCACAAGTCTTATCCTGCTGTCAGCTCACAGATTTTACTTAAATTAGATACTAAAGGAGTTCAGTAGTTCTCACCAAAAAACCATGGGGCCATCTGTCTCCATGAGTTTCTTCTAAAATTATGAATTCTTATGCTGCCCAGCTGTAATTGGCTGAGAGGTGAGTAAGGCACCATATGAGGGAAGAGGGAAAAGATGGCGAACATAAACTTTTCCCAAAGTATTAACAAAGTATAATTGAGATATTTGTCATTTTTCCAATAGAAGAGCATTTCAAAGTAATGAAATACATTTTTCATTAACAGAGAAATAAATGTACTTAAAAAGCACGCCAACCACATGAGCTGGTTTAACTATGAAGCAGGGCATTCTCTGAGATCCTCTGTTAAGATTTACAGAAGAATGTGGGAGAAAAAGCAGATGCTTCAAGACAAGTGAAAATCATTTAGGTGTACTTCTATTAGCACGAAAGCTGCACTGTATGACTACTGTGAATATAGGATATTCAAGATACATGGTAATAGACAAGTCAAACAATGACTTCATGTAGCATAACATCTTGTTGGTGTGAGAGCCCTTCTTTGTTTTCTGGCTCAGAGCTTGCTTCCTATCTCATGTCGGGTATACATATGTCATCATGACTGTGAAGAAGAGAAGGAGCTGGGGGTGTTGGTTGATGCTCGGCTGCACATGAGCCAACAGTGTGCCCAGGTGGCCAAGAGGGCCAACAGCATCCTGGCCTGCATTAGAAATAGTGTGGCCAGCAGGAGCAGGAGGTGATCATCCCCCTGTACTCAGCACTGGTGAGGCCGCACCTTCAGTGCTGTGTTCAGTTCTGGGCCCCTCACTACAAGAAAGATGTTGAGGCCCTGGAGCGTGTCCAGAGAAGGGCAACGAAACTGGTAAGAGGTCTGGAGCACAAACCTTATGAGGAGCGGCTGAGGGAGCTGGGATTGTTCAGTCTGGAGAAGAGGAGGCTCAGGGGAGACCTCACTGCACTCTACAATTTCCTGCAGGGAGGCTGTGATGAGGATGGGTTTGGCCTTTTCTCCCAGGCAACAAACAGGACCCGAGGAAATGGCCGCAAG